CAAGAGTGACACCCTGGCCAAGAAGGGGCAGGCGGCAAAAGCTGTTTTTGCCTATTCTGAAACGGATGAAGAGACCATCTTCACCATAGCAGGCGTCTTTGCCGGAGGGGGTCCCACTATTAGGGGCACCAAAGATAACATCAGGAAGCTGGCCAACTCAGTTGAGGAGAGTCAGGAGTCGAAAGACACTTTTCCTGAGGTCCTAATTTCTGAAAAGGACCGGGGCAAGGTCAGGCGGCCTCACGATGATCCCATAGTCATCGAATGTAAAGTTGCCAATTAGAGGGTTGGCCGGATCCTAATAGATACCGGGAGCTCGTCTGACCTAATCAGCTATCAATGCTTGACTAAGCTCAAGTACAAATCCAGTAACATGCACCAGGTGCCTCACCCACTAGTTGGTTTTGGGGGAGGAGTAGTGCATCCGGTAGGAAGCATAGATCTTCCCATCCGGCTGGGTGTAAAGGGGGAAGGGCGCCACATGGTGGTAAAAGTTTTGGTTGTAGAAGAACTTGCTGCCTACAACATGATTTTTGGCCGTCCGACCCTCAATGAGTCCAAGGCTGTCATCGTTCCTTCACTCATGCTTGTCAAATTTGAAAAGGACGATGGTACAGTCGGTTCCCTTAAGGGGAACCAGAGGACGGCTAGGGAGTGCTATCTCTCTAACGTCAGACCTACTATGGGGACAGCCGGAGACGGCAAGCCCATAGATCTTGATAACTGCGATACAGCAGTCCCGGCTCCAAGGGAAGCCGGTAAGAAAAGAAAGGCGGGCCAGACGGATCCCGTCAAGCAAGAAAAATAACAATCACTAGCCGGGGAAAGGTCAGATGACCGATGACCTCAGCCGGCTGGTGACTGCATTGATGTCGCCTTAGACGACAGCCGTCCTGACCGAACTGTCAAGGTTGGGACGGTTGGGATTAGTCCTGCTCCAACTTCTAAAAGAATTCAAAGACATCTTTGTCTTTGAAGTGGAAGAGATGCCAGGCGTCAGCCCGGATCTAGCTGTCCACAAACTCGCCGTGGACCCTAAAAAGAAGTCGGTCAGGCAGAAAAAGAGGGATCACGGTGAAGAGAGATCTCAGGCGGCAGCGGCTGAGGTCAAAAAACTGTTAGATGTTGGGTTCATCCGGCAATGCTATTACCCGGATTGGGTAGCAAACATTGTCCTCGTGAAAAAGCCGAATGGTACCTGGCGGATGTGTGTAGACTACACGGATCTGAACATAGCATGCCCAAAGGACAGTTACCCGCTTCCAAAGATCGACAATCTGGTCGACTCTACAGCCGGTCATGCTCTGATGAGCTTCATGGATGTCTACTCCGGTTTCCATCAAATACCCCTGTGGAAAAAAGATCAAGAAAAGACGGCCTTCGTCACTGATCAGGGGTTATTTTGTTACAAGGTGATGCCGTTTGGGTTAAAGAATGCACCGGCTACATTCCAACGCATGATAAACACCGTCTTCATCAATCAGATTGGCAGGAATGTAGAGACGTACATTGATGACATGATAGTCAAATCCAAGCTACAGACGGATCACCTACTGGACCTCCGAGAAACATTCACCACACTTAGGCGGCACCGAGTCATGCTTAACCCAAAGAAGTGTGTATTTGGTGTTGAGTCTGGGAAGTTTCTCGGATTCCTGATCGACCAAAGGGGCATAGAGGCTAATCCGGAAAAAGTACAGGCGGTCATTGACATGCGTTCTCCCCGCACTGTAAAAAAAAGAAGTCCAGAAATTGACTGGTTTCCTGGCGGCGTTGGGAAGATTTCTCAGCCGGTCTGGTGACAAGTGCCTCTATTTCTTCCAGGCCATCCGGAAGAGGTCCAGATTTGAGTGGGGTGAAGAGGCGGAAATGGCATTCCAAAAGCTAAAGCAACACTTACATTCTTTGCCAAGACTAGTGAGCCCCCTGCCACGGGAGGTCCTCTATATGTATTTAGCAGTCTCTGATCATGTTCTTAGTGTCGTTCTCCTCGCTGAGAGAGACGGTAATCAGCTCCCGGTGTATTTCATCAGCCATGTACTTAAGAATGCTGAACTCCAGTACCCCATGATCGAAAAATTCGGGTTGGCCCTGTTCGTCGCAGTCAAACGGTTGAAGCCCTACTTTTTGGCTCACCTGGTGATTGTATATACAGAAGCCGCTCAAGCGCCCAATGACCACCATCGAGTCATCCGGCAGAATGATCAAGTGGGCTGTTGAAATACAAAGCCTTGAAATAACTTTCGAACCCAGGCGGGCAGTGAAAGGTCAGGCGTTTGTCGACTTCATTGTCGAAATGACTAGACCGGTGCAACCGGAAAATCCTGATAAGGTTTGGATGTTATTTGTAGATGGTAGCTCTACAGTGAATGGCTGTGGTGCAGGCGTCATATGCCATTCTCCGAAAGAGGATAAGTTTGAATATGCACTACGGTTCCAGTTCCCAGCCTCAAATAATGAGGCAGAGTATGAAGCCTTGCTAGCCGGTATACGCATGTGTAAGGCAGTAGGGGCAAGAAAAGTCACCGCCTGCTCAGACTCTCAGTTGATCGTTAGCCAGTACAATGGTGACTACGAGGCCACCCATCCGGCTATGATCAAATACCTGCAGGCGGTCAGGGAAGAGGTCGTGTCACTCGATGAATTTCACCTAAGTTAGGTGCCCTGGTTCGAGAATAATCAGGCGGATGCCCTTTCCAAACTGGCATCATCCGCCTCCTGTGATGCGTCTAGGACGGTTTTCTGGGAAGTCATTGAGAAAAGAAGCATTGATCATGACCCCATTGGTATCCTAGACCGAAGTACCACCTGGATGGACCCCATCCGGAATTACTTGACAGACGGTACTTTACCGGATGACCCTTCTAAAGCAATGGCGCTCAAGAAGCGTGCTCTGAGCTTCGTAATGCATCATGGAGAACTTTTTCGGAAAGGGTGCCTACTGCCGTTTCTAAAGTGTGTAACCCCTGAAAAGGGAAGAGAGGTTCTAGAGGATCTGCACGCGGGTTTTTGTGCCTCACACATAGGCGGCAGGTCCTTGGCAAGAAGAACCAGACGGCAGGGTTACTTCTGGCCCACTCTTGAGGTAGACGCCATGGATTTGGTGAAACGGTGTGACAAATGCCAAAAGTTCGCCCGGTTGATACATCGACCGGCAACTGACCTGACAGCCATCCATAGTCCGGTTCCGTTTGCAAAGTGGGGCATGGACATTCTGGGTCCGTATGCTCCTACATCAGGCAGTCGTCGCTATAATTTGGTGGTAGTGGATTACTTCACCAAATGGGTTGAAGCAGAGGCAGTCAAAGGCATAAAAACAAAGGACGTGATCTCCTTCATTTGTAAAAATATCATCACCCGGTTTGGGGTTCCAATGTCTATGGTCTTTGACAATGGACCTTAATTTGAAACGCCTGTCCTCAAGAGCTGGTTGGGGGACCAAGGAATCTCCCATTGTTTTGCATCCGTTAGCCGTCCTCAGGCAAACGGGCAAGTTGAGGCCTTCAATAAGCTGATCTCAGACTGTATAAAGAAGAAGGTGGAAAGAGCCGGTGGACTATGGGCAGAGGAATTACCTCATGTCCTTTGGGCCATCAGGACCACTGAAAAAGGGGCAACCGGTGAAACCCCATTTCTTATGACATATGGCACTGAGGCGGTGCTCCCCATTGAACATTATGAGCCAACACTTCGCATCATGCTATATGATGAGGCGGCCAACTGGGAAGCCATGCGGCTTGCACTGGATGCTCTCCCAGAGCGAAGGGGCAACGCAGCCTTGCGTCATGAGATTTACCGCCTGAGAATGACAAGAGCCTACAACAAGCGGGTTCACAAACGGCCCTTGAAAGAAGGAGATTTTGTGCTTCGTAAAATGGAAGCAACCGGTAGGGCCAATGAGCAAGGCAAATTAACCCCTAACTGGGAGGGACCCTACCGGATTTTTGAGGAAGTACGAGACGGCACATACCGCCTGGAAACCCCAGACGGTAGAAAGCTCCCTAGAACCTGGAATGTAGATAATCTCAAAAAGTACTACTTCTAGAAATTGTATAGTTTTTGTAGATTTCTATATAATTAATGAGAAAGATTTACTACATATTATGCTTACATGCGCCATGTCTTGTGCTTAACACAAGCGGCTTCCTTCATCGGTTTTCCATGCGCCATGTCTTGTGCCCAACACAAGCGGCCCTGAAAACTAATGAATCAACCAGTGACACCCATTCGGGTGAATTCATCGAAGAGAACATCTCCCATTCGGGTGGAAAATTGTTCTAGTGATCAAAAATCAGGCGGTCCCACCCGCATGAGCGATCCATGGCACCAAAGAATCGTGGCAAGCGTTCCCAAACATGCAGCCGACTCACTCTCTGGATCAAGTACCATTTAAGGCTGATCTCAAAACAGACAGCCGGTACTTAAGGTGCCGCCTAACCGACTAAGAGAAGGCAGGCCTCAAGCATTTGGTTTAGGCAAATAATCTATGAAGAGGTGTTCTTGAAAAAGCCCAACCGGCAAGTTGACACCCTAAATCTTATGAAAAGGTCTTTCCCAAAAGGCCAGCCGGCAAAACTGTAAAAACCGGCTGCTTTTCGTTTTAACGGTTAGCATTTAGCACTTAGCTAAAATCGTTAGCATTTGTGCTATAGCATGTGGATAGCCGCCTGGCACCATTTCATCCATGCCAGCCTCCTATCCAGGGGCAATTACCTATCCTAACCCCAACCAGTCATGCGGAAACACATTTATTCAAAAAGCATGCGGAAACACATTCATTCAAAGCAAGAAAAAAACAAATTCATTCAAAACCGGATCAACCGGTGGAAATGTAGCAAAAATAACCGGCACAACCGGTGAGAATATAAAATTGTTTACAGAATAAACCGGCACATTCGGTGAAAATATCAGTATTCAAAATAAAAGACAACAGCAGAGTAAGCCGACCCTTCTGACGCTATTACAAGATAATGCACGGCGCGCAGGCCGGGAGGTCGTTGCTACTCTAGCTGCACTATCACCTGGTCAGCCTGAGCCTGACTCCCTTCCGGATGAGTTGGGTCGGTGTTGGGAACGGAGCCGGGAGCAACCTCATCCTCGACTGCCTCTTGGTTGCCAGCCGTCTCCTCCTGCATCCGCCTGAACTCCGCCTCAACCCATTGCTCATAGGGTCCAGGCCCCAACTGGCCCTCCTCCTCAGCCAGAATGGCAAGATTTGCGTACTTGTAAGCGAGCTCCCAGTCGTTGTAGTCTGTACCCGGATGGATAATGGAGAACGCCCTCTTCATTCGGTTTTTACAGTCCTGCTCATTCTCCTCAATGAGTCGACTCTGATCAGCTTCAAGGGTGGCCTGGAAATTGCGCTGAGCATCAGCAGCCTCCTTGACCAGGCGGTCATTCTCTAATTGCAGCCGTTTGCTGCTCCTCTCCGCCTGGTCGAGCCGCTTGAGGGGCTCCTCATGCTTTTTGAGCTCGTCTTTGGCATTGTCCAGGGCCGCCTGAAGATTGTCCACTTTGAGCTTAGACTCTTTGAGGGCCTGTTGAAGGGACTTGACCTGATCCGCCTGTTGCATGATTATAGCTTTAGTTTCTAAGTCATGCACTATCATGAAATAGTGAGCAACACTATGTGCGTCATCCGCAGAACGTTTGGCTCTTCTTACCTCTTCCTGCTTGCAGATGTAGGCCTTCTTGAGCCCCTCAACGCGGAGCAGTGCCTGCAACAACAACATAACCGGTATTAGTAGAAAGACCGGATGGGTATACTACAAATTAAGTGCCGGGTGGGTACTCATTGACATACATCGGCCAGGTTGACCATCACCCGGTCGGCATTGAAGGTATTGATTCCAGGAATCGCCTCCTTCTCGTCTTGGGGAACGGCTTTCAGCATGGCCCGGGCGTATTGAGCAGCGTCCGGCCAGCGTGGAGAGTTATCTGCACCAGAAACAGATGGTGAGAAAGCTGCGTATGCTACGCCTACGGACAGCCGGCTGACCAGAGAATCTCCCGGCTGAGACGCGGAATACGACTTAACCCGCATGGGTAGGTCGAGCAACGTGAGGTTGAAGGGGTTTGTACCTTTTTGGGAAGCCCTTTGGCCTCCGCAGAAGATGGACCAGTTGCGGTCCTTATTGGAGTGACCTCTTTCAAGGTCGTTTCAGTGTTAGACCCGCTTGGGGTCTTTATTGTTTTTACCGCCGGTAGTAGCCCGGGTGGTAGAAGCGATTTTCTGCACCTTGAGTGCAGGCTCTTCAACAGACGGCCTTGGCCTGATCTGTTTTTGCAGAGAGCGGGGAATAACACCCCCATCCTGAAACAAGACCACAAACGGTCAGGTGAATAAATAGCTAAAACAGCATCAAAGCCAGCACATAAAGAAGGTCAGGCGGGCTAACCTTTTTAGCCGCCTGAGCGGCAAGCTTTTTCTCCAGATTCTCCTTGTGGATATCTGAAGCCTTTCTTGCGGGTGTCTTGGCGGTGGGCAGCATCTTTTTAGCTTCTTCGGCAAAACGAAAATACATCCGGTCAGAAACATGATAATTTTGCATTGCAATCAAGAGAAAAAGGTCAGCCGACATCAAATTAACCGGCTAGGGTTCGTAACCTTTTCTTTTAAACATGCTGCTAAGCCCACAGGCGTACAAGAAGCACTCGTCTTTGTAAAATTCGTGTTTGGGCACCTAGTTCTTGGGTACCCTTATTATCTCTCCGGTTGAGAGAGAAGAAGAGGTCAGCTCAAAAAATTTGGAGTCCAGAATGGCCTCCCTATCATTATCAGGAACTGGGGGCAGCCGGCACTTCTGCCCCATAAGCTCCGATTTCCGGTTATAGGTCCGGTACTCCTTGTTCAAGGTCATCATATATTGGGGGTGAGTCGTCAAGGTGTACCAAGCTCTCCAGCCGCCTGGGCTCCGGCTCAAATAGTGCATATGGGCAAACGCCTCCCAGCCGGGGTTGAGATCCTGCATCTCACAGGCGGCGATGTACCCTAAAATGTTCACCCAAGAATTCGGGGTGAGTTGCCAAACGCCTAGTCCATACCCCCTAAGTATGGCCTTAATCGTGTTGTGAAGGGGGAAGCGGACACCGGCTAGGAAAGCCGCTTCGTAGCACCCAAACCAACTGTTAGCGTTAGGTTGGTCATCTTCCCATACAACCGTCCCGAACTCCCCCGACACGGTCATCTTATATCCCTCCCCAAGCGGTCGCTTGGTAATAAAGTCTTGTAAAGAAGACCGCATGAGGGCCGGTCCTTGAGAGAGACGACGATCATGAGAGGGTCGTTTCTGCTTTGCCACGAAGGCCTCTCCGCCTCCTCGCTATCTTCTGACATGGTCAAGTAGCTAGAGCTATTGCTTTCAACCCGATCGTCATCAAAGCCGGATGGGGAGTTGGGACCCTCATTGGCGGCTCCTGGCTGCTCCGCCTCCTGAGACGGAGAGGTCTCCTCGTAGGAGCCTAGAATACTATCGTTTGGGGTGGCGGGGGTGCCGCCGGATGGTTCTCTAACCGCCTCGTCTAGGCCTTGTCTTAAGGAGATAACTCATTTGAGTCTCCGCCTCTGTAATTGGGGTCCATAGGTGTTCCCCTAATTCTGGCCATTGTGTCCTGCACAGACACGGAGTCGGTCGATACAGGCGTTGAAAAGGGGAAATTCCAAAGATCAGAGGTGGCATATCCAGTTCTAGACTCAGGCGTGCTAACTGACCGACTAAGTTCACAACTATGTTCCGAGTATGGGTATAAAGGGTCCATCTACCTATGGGACTTATAAACAAAAATGCAAGCAAAAGACGCAAACGAAAATACATGGAAAAACAAGAAAGAATAGAGACGGTACCTAGAGTAGAAGAGTGTTGAAACCTCAAGAAATTTCTTGGGGATGCTTGCGAAGACACAGACGGTTTGAAAACCGGCTGGGTTATTTGGGGTACCCTCAGGAAAAAACTTTAGCTTGCTGTCTACCTTACAGGCGGTCTGAAAACCGGCTGCTCTAAAACTATCAAATCTCTGTGTGCTCTGAATTTCAAGTACCGGATGCTCTCAAATGCCGGATGCTCTCAAAAGTCGAGAAAATTCACGAACTTTGTAAATGAGCTCTCGTGTGCTTCTTCCCCCATTTATAGGGGTTGCCTCAGAAGGCGAAGGGACGCGACCCTTCCCCTTCTGTTTTTCCCTCCTCTTTCAGTTAGAATTTGAAGAGGTTTCGTTAAAAAAAAAAAAAAAGGTGATGATGAATATTGCATACGTCAGCTCTCTTCTCAGGTGCCACGTGGCACCTTGCCACGTCAGCACCTGAGAGGGGCAAATGTTTGGGGTAAAAATACCCCAGCCACGTGGCCCTATGGCTGAGCGACACGTGGCACCCATCCATTGGTCAGCAGAGCTCCAATCCCCTGCTGACACGTGTCCTAGAAACCCTAAATGGGGAACCAAGTCTCCCCACTATAAATGGTGGGAGAATCCTCATTAATGGGGGATATTCATCAGAGATTCATAAATGCGTTCACCAATACATTCAAGGAAATTGAATACACTTTCACCAAAACCGAGCAATATCAATTGCGGAATTCTCCCAGTACGCGAGAAGTAATTTCACTATTTTACGCAATATCTTCCTCCTGTACGTAACTGACTTGATCGTCGGTGGCGGAGCTCCAACCAACCGGAGTCTTCGTGGTTTTGCAGGTACAGGCGGCGAAGGGCATTCTTGGAGTTGTAACTCTCCCGCAGGACACATCAAAAAACCCTAAAACAACAAGCTTTTGAACATGTTCAGTTTAGTCTTATTTATATTTGCAGGTTCTATTATTATTGTGGTTAGTATAATTTGTTGGTTGGTTTAATTTGAAGTTTATATTAGTTGGTGGTTTTGACTTCCATCAAGGGGAAGATTGAAGACTCCACCTTTGATGAAAGTCAAACACATTGCAATCGAATGTGCAGGTTATATTGTTCAAGTCCAATAAGAATAAGTTGGAATTAGTGGGTATGCGTGGACTATGCTATATGGCTATTTGTGTGAGCCCAATTAGCCAAATTCGTGTGAGCCCAATTCGTGTGACAAGTTATTGTTGTGTGCTGGACGAAATTATGGACTGACCTTATTTATTCTTATTGTGATAATTATTCTGCTTATTTATCTCTAACAAATTTATCTTGTGTTATGGATATTTATCTTATGTTAATAATTTGATTATATCTTTTGATAACATTAAATATATTTAACAAATTCTGTTTTGCAGAGATAGAGATAATAATAACAATATTCTGTTTTATCAGAATATTTGTCTCAAGGGATAAGTCTCATATTTAAACTTAATTTTGTGCTAACCGATTTCCTTGAAGTTTAAATATCTGTTTTGCAGAAATCCCTTGAAGCATTAGAAAATATCAACAAAAGTATTATCAAGCTTCACGTTATTCAAGAGTTACGTTGTTAAAATATTTTGTCTCTAAGTTCTTTAAATACCTTATTGTGTGATTAGATTGAGAGAAAAGAAAAGTGTATCTAAGAGTGAAAAAGAATATATCAAAAGTGAGATATACTTAGAGTAATGTTATAATACTGAAAGTATTTTAGGTAGTCTTTTTATTTCTGTGGGTGGCTGCGGAAAGAAGATGGGAGACCTTCTAGGTGCTTAGGACTCTAAAAAGATTTAAAATCCTACGGGTTGAACAACCCTAGGCGCAGACGTAGGCATATTTGCCGAACTTGGTAAAAATATTGATGTGCCTTGTCTCATTTTATTTGCTTTACTTTACTGTTTTTATTTCTGTTTTTAATTCGTTATCCATATTCTGCCTAAGTTTCTAAGTTTGTTTTTAAGCGTTGAAGTAAATCTCAAAGCCTTGACTTTTATTAGAAAATCAGTTTATTCCGCATTGAATTGATTTCAAGACCTTGAGATTTACAGTTTTGCGAAAATTTGCCATACCCCCCCTTCTGCCTTCCCCTTACTCATTTCTTTTACTTAAATATGGTTGTTTGGCACATCTCCTGATTTCTCACGGGATTCACATCCTCACAGGCGCTTTGTTAACAGGGCTCATGCTGATGTTCGTCACAGGCAAAGCCAGAAGTGATTTGATACTATTCTCAAGGCTTGGACATCTATTTCTGTGTTTTTATTTCATACTTTTGAACTTTTATTTTGGTCTGTAATTTTTTTTAACACAATGTTTTGTCAACTTCTTTTGTTCCAAACATTTTCTTATCAAAAAGGGGGAGAAAACATAATGATATGATTGTTGGTTAAAGTATATTATTCTGTTTTGTTTAGTCTTTATATGCAGGTCGGGTTGAAAGTTTTGATATGACTGCTGGTTAAAGTATGTGGTTTAGTCTTTATATGCAGGTATTATTGTATGGGTTGAAAGTTATAATCTGCTTTAATTTCAAACTTTGTTTTTCAAGTTTTGAACTGAATCTTAAAGCCTTGAGTGAATCAGTTTATTCGGCCTTCTACGAATTGGTGTGTACGTCGAAGTTTAGATTTAATATGTTGTCTATTATTATTAATATGTTTTGGCAGGATTATTTATACGTTCAAACATTAGTTTTGGAGACTAAGAACTACTAACTTTAACAACACACACAAGAATTATCAACAACACACACAAGCAACAGTTGTATTTACTAGGTCTCATTTAATTCATACTTATTTTACTTTACTTTAACTTGCAATATCACATTCTTTAAACAGAAAATTGGAATATCAATCCGAATAATATTTCATCAAATGACAAACTGAAAATTAAGTATTCAACAAAACTGAAAATAAGAATATCCAAATCCTGTAAGAATATCCAAATGAACCCTTATTACACATTCCAAACTAAAATGAAATACAAATAGAAATACAAATAACTGAGCTCATTGATCAGTTAGCTCAGGCATTCGGCCCCTCCTTTGCCTAGACTTGAAGTTAACCTTTGGCACTGGTAATTCATGCATCTGCATCCAAACAAAGTTACTTCAGATTCATATTCAGAGTACATAGGTGAACAACTACTTCAAGATCAAACCTCACATTATTCACTCCAGCTTGTAGGGGTCCAACGCTATCCCTTGCATCCCTTGGGTGTTGTTCACCGTAAGCAGCATCCAATAGCTTGAACCTCACAAAGAAATAAACATGGAAAAAGGTTACTCTATTTGATTGAAGCAGAACACTATGCATATTATGCAATATAATAAAACAAATACAAAAGTGCTTACCCCTAGTTTCCCGTAGTCGCCGGACAACAATTTGTCTGATTTTGCTGCCTTCCCAATCTGCTGCATAGTCCACACATTAATTCTTGGAAAAACATCCCATTTAATAGGATCCCTATCCAACCGATCCAAGTAAAATATCTGCCAAATTGTAAAAGCAAAAGAAGCAATTACTAAAACAAAACGCACAAGAAAAAACAAAAGCAATAATACACTGAAACACATACTACAACAAATATTGCACACCCGCCGCATCCACTGGCAAACCCATTAGCATAGAAACATCGAGAAAAATTTTGTACGCTCTCCAGCAACTTCGACAACACTAAAGAACACCAATCGTACTCAATTGCCTCCAAAGCACAACTTATTGCAGGTAGTAGGTCAGACGCAAGCCGGGGTGACTATGTGGGACACAACACCATCTCCAAAGCAATTATCAAGAACAACGTCTTGAATTCCTCTTCCTCTCCAGCATCATAGTACCCCTCCAACAGATTCATCATATCTGAACTTAATGGTATGCCTACAGACGTGTATACGTGACCAGATTGTCCACTAGCCTTGGACTCCCACGATTTACCATACTTCAAAAAAATTCTCTGAACCTTTTCACGATCATGTTGGGTCATGGTTTTAGTACAATGAACAGTCCTAGAACCCATTGGTATTCCTAGTACCCACCGAACCTGATTCTTTGAAAACCTAAACTCAAGTCCGTTGGTACTTCTAAGTATTTTACTGATTGGATCCATCCGTGTCATCACCTAGTATGCCAATTGTCTTGGTGAATGCATATCTAAAGCAAGATGTAACAGACTACCAAAAACCAACGTCTTCTCCTGTCATCAAATTTCTGACATATGCGCCCAAATGACTCAATGCGGCAATTCATGTTAGGAGGCTGCCAATTACAGTAATTAAGTTAATATCCCACATCAAATGACCACTGAATCAACAAGCAAACTTACCCGACTTCTGGCCTTTGAATGTTTAGCCATCACCTCCGCTCTACCTTTGACAGCCCCTCCATAACTTAATCCGTCATCTTAAGCACACCAACTTAGTTCATGCATAAACCTTAATCATGCAAAAACACCAATTTCACACGCACAAAATTCCATATTGTAGTACCTTAAACAATTCTGGATACAAATGCATGGTCTTCTGCTCACATACCTTACTCTTCTTACTGAGCCCATACCCCTCTTCATCTACAACCCCAACCTTCATTACCAAAACATAAAACCATAGTTCAAAACATAATCACATCCCCAGCCTAAAGAATACATCTAAAAAAACCCTCACCATTTACGCTTACCATTCCCCGCTGACATTTTCATAATCCTTTCAAGAATGAATACATCAAATACGGTGTGTTAACTACATTACACACAATACTCAATCTAATTTGTTCTACACACAATCAATCATAACAAATCGAAACTCGATACAATTTCACACCATAACACAATATCACATATATAGAACGAATAATGAGCACTAATGAATGAATAATTCACCTCATTCCATCAAATGAACATTTCAAATGCAAAATTCACCTCATTCCATCAAACGAACATTTCAGAGCAGCATAATTGCACACATCTACATCTAATTAATATTCCCTTAACACGGTCGCAATAATTCCATTGTTTAATTGTTGCAGATAGTCGCACCAATTCCACTATTAAATTCCAGATAATATAATAAATTAAAACAATTAAAGTCGAAGTAATACCATTTTTACCTTTGGTTTTGCATCTGCAACCCTAAAAAAATCCGAACTAGAGCTGTAACACCCTAAACAATCCTCGCTGAAATAATTCTGTCAATTGAAACAATCAACGTACTGAACATCGACCCTCAACCCTAAAACATTCGAAAAAACAACAAGCCAGTTTGAATTGAGAAAAAACAAGAACCCAAGTTCGAATTGAACTTGAATCAGAAAGAACCTGAATAAAACCAAGAGTTCGAGTTGGGACCTCTTCGAGTTGAGTTGAGTTTTTCCCAGCTCTTCAACTTGAGATTCAAAGAATTCGAATTGAAAACCCAAAATTCGTGCCTTCTTCGAATTTGGTTTCTTTGACTTGAGTTTCGCCCAGATTTTGAGTTTTCATGAAAACTCCATAAACGTTGAAGTTTAACGATGTCGACTGTGAGATACCCACAAGTAAAACAACTGGAAAACCAAGTAAAACACGTCAGAATAATGAGGCCACATCACACATCCAACAAATGACTTATGTGAGGTGCAATGTTGGTTATACTCCCATGAGAAACATAAGTTGTTTCTCATTATGAGGAATGGGGGCCTCCTTGCTAAATAAGATATCTAAGCCATGGTAAATTGGTCAAATCTCCCTCTGGAGCTCCTCGACCTCATTGCCTCCAAGTTTGATACCCCGTTCGTCACTTGCCCTTTACGTTCTGTCTGCTTTACGTGGCGGTTCTCTATCCCCCAATCTCTCCCTATATTTTTTCCTCCTATAAAAATCTTCAACTCTAATGTCCATCACTGTGACCTCCGCCTTACTAAACAAACTTTTTTCCAACTTTCTCCTTCCTTTGACCACGACGCTTCCGAGTGGCTCATCAAGACCGAGGAGCACAGCCCCGGGGCTCTCCATTTGTTCAATCCCTTTTCTAGGACCCTCATTAAACAATTAGCTCCTAATCTTCCTAGAAAATTTGATCTAACTAATATTAAAATCAAAGAGTTGGATAGTGAGTACGTGTTACGTAACATTATTATTAGTCCTAGTACTAGAAACATGGATTACTACAATAATATGGAGCATCAAAAGGTAACCGTTACCTTCCTTAATTCTATTAGTAATAATGTTAATGTTGATTATGTTATTTTGTCCATGCATAACACGAGTAAATTACTTATGTATCAGTCCAAAATTGAGTCATGGGAATTTTTGGATGATTATACTTTGGGTTATGATGATAGGAGTATATATATTAATGATTGGTCTTTGCACTATGTGGATGTAGTAGAGTATGATGGTACATTTTATGTTGTCACGAATTCAGGTAGGACGGTAGCCATTAAGGTTATTGACTTTTCAGTCACAATAACATTAGTAAAAACTGTTGTTATTGGTGGTGATAAAAAATGTCTAGTGAAAGTAGCGGATGATCTGTTAATGGTGGACTTGTATACCAATTTGACTCCTGAACTTATAAAGGTACACAGGGTTGAAATTTTCAAACTTGATAAAGATGGACAGAATTGGATATTGGTTACGAATTTAGAGGAGCACACAATTTTTTTAAGCAACCATTCTTCATTTTCCACGATTGGTTTAAAAGGATGCAAAGGCAATTGCATTTACTTTCATTTTAAGAATTTAGAAAGTAAGGATTCATATTTTTCGGAGATTAAAGAGGGAGATTTTGATGAAGTTGATGATTTTGAGTGGAAAAGTGATGAAGTTGGTGTTTTTGATTTCGAAAATGAAACTTGTGGACCTTTGGAAAAATATTTGGAAGGTTCTCAACCATATTTTTGGCCTCCGCCAGGTTGGGTTACTTTGGCATGTATTACATGAAGTTCTTAACCTTCGTTTTTTTCATTATTTCCGATCTTATGTAAAAATGTGGGATAACTATCAGCGGATAGGCGTTATTGATGAAGGAAGCAAATAGGATGGCAATCTATGTAAATATGTTGAAGTTGGGTGGGGACTAGGTGCCAACTAGAGGAAAAAATAACGGGGCAAAGAAAGAGAAAACAAGGAAACCAAAATCTAAGCGGGAAACCAAAATGAAGTCTGATAAAGCAACTTTCCTCTTTCATTCCTCTTTTTTCCCAAAGGTCTTTCATTCCTATTTCTTCCCAAAGCATAGTTTTACTGTTTAATGGCGAATTGAGCGAAATGAAATTGAAGGCATTGAAATCCTGTCCCAGGTGCACTAAAACCACACAAATGCCTTAAATTTGACATTGGAAATTAAGGATGAGAACGAGGTTAGCTGACATTCTTGGCGTGGATGTAGCTAAAGCAGTTGGTGATGGTGGACAAGACGGACATGACTGCGCTCGGGAGCTGCGATTTGATTGTGAAAATGTAAGTTTCGTACATGCATTATTGTAATTATTTAGTTTGAAGGTAGATTTGTAATTAATTTTGGAAATGGAGAAGTGTGATGTAGTTGTTTATAGATGGTTAGCAGTTATTTTGTGAATCCAAACTAAATTTTGACAATGCAAAATCGGTTAGCTGCTGATTTATTAGGAGTTGATTTAGCGGAAGCATTGCGTGAAGGTGGTGAAGAAGGCCATGGTTCCGCAAGGGACTTGCGGTTTGATAGTGAGAATGTAAGTGTTTGAAACCCCTATATAGGTCGTTCTGTTGTGTATGAGGTATTTGTTTGAGTTAACAGTTAGTAAGGCATGAATTGAGGGAGTAAACAAAATTGAATTAGCTGAAAAGGTAGGGTTTTTTTGGTGTCTCTCAATTATAGTTGTTGTTGATAGTGATTGTCTTAGTGCTTAAATAAGTAGGCATATTGTTTAAATGTAAGTCATTTATAGAGCAATTGTTGTTCGTATTGTTAGATTGTTGATTTTAACCTGATCAATTAGTGAGTGTGGTTAATCTTTGTTGTGTTTGTTGGATTTTGGAGTAGGTTGAAATTAATAGTGAGGGTTGTCTTTAAATTCTGAAATTGATACTTGGAAAATGGTTGTTCATTGGTATGGTGGTTTATGTAGCCATGAAAATGATGTTATGTATAATGTAGATATTATACTTTGTTACTTGTGGTGGTGTTGTGTATATGATTGTTTTATGGCTGTCATTGTTATAGGGGGGGTGATGGTGGTGAGGATGATGTATGTGGTAATGAGGAGGGACTTGAGAGTGAGCATGGGTATGGAGAAGGAGATGAGGAGGAGAATGAACAGGGATCAGAAGATGATGGAGAGGAATGGGGGTCAGATTATGAGGAAGTTGAAGTGGAGGAAGGAGTTGAAGATGAAGGAGTTGAAAATTGAGGGTTATAAATGAGTATTTGAATTGGGTAGTTATAAAATGTAGACTCTTTTAATTAGATGAGGAAGATGTTAGGCTTAGGAACCTTTGTTATGGTTAGGACCTTTTGTTGTAAATGTGATATGAACTTCAATCCATGCAATTGAATAAGTAAATGGCTAATTGGTAATTTTAAATTGCCATAATCTTTGATACGAAAGTAGATTGTTCATTGTTATTTGATAAAATGGGTGTTGTAGTTGGGTTGATGAAATGTTTAATGTATTATAATTGTTTGGGAATGTGTTGGTTTAAGAATGGTGATGGAGTGAAGGATGAGTTGCTGCTAATTGTATGAGTTATTGTCGAACGTGTTTGTGTTAAAAATTGTACAAACCAAAAAAAAAAAACCTTTGAACTTGTTATTTATCGAACCAGTTGCTGTTAAAGAAGGTAAGAAAAAATTTTGTTATGAATTATGTGATCATATAGTTTGTTGGGTTTGGTGTTTTCGTGTATGTGTTTGGTTATTGGTTGTTTGTTGTAATGTTGTATTTTCAATGAGTCATGGTTGTATATGTGAATTAGGTGGATGTTACTGATGGATATGAAGATGGTGGGGAGGATGATGTATCTTTTTATGAGGAGGGATTAGAGAGTGTGGGATTAGTGAGTGATGATGGATTAAGAGAAGGTGAGGTGCAGGAGGATGAAGAGGGGGAAGGGTTTGAGGTTGAGGATAAGGATAAGGGGGCAGATTACGAGGAAGATGAAGTTGAGCCTTGTGTTGAAGGGGAATTTGATGGGACTGGTGCAGAAGGTCCCTCATTCATAACCCCAAAGAAGAACACGATAATGGTGCACATTGTGTTTGGTGTGGAAGAGGAAGTACTACCCCCAAGTTTGGGCATGGTATGTGGGAGTTGGGATGAGTTGGATACCTATTTCTGGAGTTATGCTAGGCAAAAGGGTTTTGGTATAGTGAGGGTTGCTTCTGGGTGGGTGGATGTGAAGAAGGAATTGGAAAAGGGGAAGTGTTGTAAGCAGAGAAGGAATGCAAAGTGGACTTGTGATTGTTATGGTTACGCTTCAAGGAAGCGTAAACAGGATGCACTTAAGGAAGGGTTGTTGCAAGATGAGGAGACAGTTCAGAAACGGAAGACTATAAAGTGCGGGTGTCCTGTGGAGTTATATGCCAGTGTAAATGAGCATAAAGGTCACATTGTTACTCCGAAAAAGTCAAAGGATGTAGCGATGTACCGGAAGCACGAGTCAATGGTGCAAAACAATCACTTGGTGAAGCAGGTGCATACGGCGAAGAAGTCTAAGGTGAAGGTATCCCAAATGTACAATTGTTATGCTCGGGAGCGTAATGGAGTGGAGGAGATGACATTTACGCAAAGAGACTTGGAGAATGAAGTGGCTCAGAAAATGAGACTTGAGCTTACTGAGGGTGATGCGAATGACATGATAGAGTACTTCAACAAAATGAGTGCCGACAATCAGAATTTTTTCCATCTATGTCGGTTTGGGAAGGACGGGGCATTAAAAGATATTGTGTGGGTAGACGCGAGGAGTAGAGCTGGGTATGAGGAGTTTGGAGATGTTGTGTGTTTTGACAGTACGTATTTGACAAACAAATTTCACCTTCCCTCTGCTGTGTCTATCGGTGTGAACCATCATGGGAAGAGTATTTTGTTTGGATGTGCTTTGATCTCTCGGGAGACGGCGGAGACCTATGAGTGGGTGTTGAGGACTTAGCTACATTGCATGGGGGGTAAAGCTCCTATTCTCAATCCTAACGGATCAAGATCCGGCGATTAGGAAAGCTGTAAACTTGACTATGCCTGAGAGTTACCATAGGTGGTGCATATGGCACATACTTCAGAAGTTTGGGAGGTATGTGGGTAAGCATGCGGACTATGAAGTTGTAAAGGATGAATTTGAAAATATCATTAATGGTAGTTTAGATGCTGATGAATTTGTAGATCGTTGGGTGGACGCAGTTGATTATTACAAACTAGGAGATAACAGTTGGCTTGAAGGTACTGCACTTCGATTTCTTCCTTTTTTTTTTTAGTTTTTTTGTTTGTGATTGTTGCTGATTTCTGTTAGAATATGAAGAGGTGTAACTGTCTGTGTGTAGGGGACTGGAAGATGTTTCAGTTCTGATTTAGGGTAGGAGCAGCTTTAGTGGTAGACTTTTGTACCACTGAATTTTGTTGTTGCAAGTTTCTTAGTTGTGGTACTGAGACAGTGAATGTACCATTCACAGGAGTCCAGGTGTATGAGGTTTGTATATTTTTAGTTGGGCCATTAATTGCAATTATTTGAAATGTAGGGCTGTATGAGGAAAGGCACATATGGATCCCAGCCTATTTGAAGCATTTATTCTAGGCCGGGATGAGACGACCCAACGTTCTGAAAGTTTCAATCACTTCTTCAAAGGTTATGTTAACAAGCATACAACGTTGTCTGAATTTGTGCTTCGATACTGCGATGCAATGCAGGTAAGGGCTGAGTCAGAAAGAATTGCAAACTCTAACAAACTATGGCACATCATGCATGTAGCTACCAATTTCCAAGCGAAGGAAGTGTTCCAGAAGTTTTACACAGACGCGAAATTTAAAGAAGTCTAGTAGGAGTGCAAGAGGATGTTGTACGTGCGTCGCCTAGATGACTATGAAGTTGGTGAGAATCAAGTTGAGTTTGTTATTGAGGACCGAGTGTGGATCAAGCCAAAATATGAAAAAAAAAAAAAATCTGTGACTAAGACTCGGAGATGCTATAGGATGTGCTATGACAGTAATACATATGAAGCTAGTTGTGACTGTAAACACTTTGAGTGCCATGGAATCATTTGTCGACATATGATCTTTGTGTATGACCATTGAGGTGTTTCTTTTGTTCATGAGAAGTATATTCTACGTCGTTGGAGGAAGGATATTCAAAGGAAACACACACGAGTGAAAGTAGCTTACCATGATCCACTTAAAATCGATGAAGCTAGGAAACATCACAAATTGATGGGGATGTATGAGCCAATTTGGTCTAAGGCTTCAGCTTGTAAGGAGGGTGTTGAGGTTGTGGCAGAGTTGTTGCAATTGATAGACCTCAGATTCGATGAAGTGTTGGCAATGGTTGCCAAAAAACAGGAACTGGCGGCTAAGGATAATGAAAATGAAGGTCAGGATGATGGCGTACATTGTGTTATTCGAACGCCTTCTTTTGTGGCTTTGAACAAGGGGCCTGGTTGTACATATACACCAACCACACATGCATCTGGGTTGCCAAATACAATCCCTACACCAGTCAGTGTCGTGGTAGGAAGTTGTGATGGACCCTTACCAGCAGCGATTAGGGATCCACCGTTGCCCAAGAAGAAGGCCCATCGTACAACCAATATAAGGTATCCATCTTGCACAGAGAAAAGGGAAAAGAAAAGGCTACTAGGGCAAAAAACGTATCAAAGAAGCAAGTTGCGGTGGCACAGAACAGTATGTCATTGTCAACGAATGACTATGTACGATCAGTTCGAGGGATTCAAATGAGGGATGTGGATGGTTCCTTAGGGTACTTCACTTCTGTTAGGGGAACAAATTCTGGTGGTTTTTTTGCAAGTGTACTAGGTACTCCTGGTACATCAGGTTCCAATCACTTGTAATGTAATCGATTTAACTGGTTGATAAATGCATTAGAATGTATTTGTTGTTTAAACATGTTTCAGTGGTACACTTATCGTGCATGAACTGTACCATTGGGCAGTTATATTCATGTGTTGAAAATAGAGGTAGTTACATGAATAGTTTCCTATGAATGTGCACCTTATGATTCACAGATTGTTCTTGTAATTAGGGTGGTACATTCTCAGCATATGTAGGATTTGAAGTTCAGAGTAGACGTTGTCAGAGTTGAAATTCGTATTGATCTATTATTTTATTGGTGTTGTAAAATTTTAGGATTGTTGTTCTGTTTATATGTCCTGAATTTCTGCATTTGATACAACGTAAAATAATATAGGTTTGTTTTGTTATGGAGTAACTGAGAACAATACAGCTAATATTGTGAACTACTGTGTTTGTGCGTGTTGTTTTGAACTGTAAAACATATTATTACATACAACAGAAACACGAGTTTAACAAATCATAATCTGCAAGTTAAAAAAAGAAATGTCATTATACATATAATATTTATCATACATGACGGATGAGTAGACCATTTACTATTGTATAAAACGCGCTTATTTCCCTAACATATTTACAAGTTAAACAAGATATTGTATTTTCAGCATCCTCGTCATAAAGACCAGCCCATGCAGATAAGTTCTTCTCGTGTTGTAGTTTTTGTTTGCAAAATAAACGCGGCTGTGGCATATAATCTACAACGAACTTATTTCTCATCCAATTTGACCTCACCATGTCACGTAACTTCCTCCTGCACTGGACGATCCCTGCAGATCCGATACTATTGATAATGTTCTCCAAAAGCTTACCACCTTTTTCTTCTTCCCCGGTGTATATATATATGAGGCTTACTATATATCCAACCTCTTCAACCCTTCGTCAACCACCATATAGTTGAAGTATTGTCGCTATAGTAACGTAAAATAGAAAAGTTTTAACAATTATCAACAGGTTTTTTGTAATATTATAATGAATAATATTGTCAAGTAATAAGAAAGAAGCCTTACAAATCCAAACTCAAGCAGAGCTTCAAGATGTTCATTCTCCACGCACTTCATGAAGAATGCGTCTGCCTCTTCTCGGTGTTACCACCTTCGTGTTTGAATCCAAGGGAGGTGAATTTGTTGAAGGACTCTTTTTTCTTCGGCTATCCTTCGTAGGTTCTTGCAACTTTTTTCATGTCATACGCCATAATTACATTGTTAAAATCTTTGTGTATAGGGGGATGGGAAACAGAGTACAAATTATAAGTAAAATGAACTACCTTATTTTGCACCGAAATAAATCTACAGGAGATGACTTAGCAACGCAACACAGAATGGTCGCTAACACTTCCAACGGAAGGATGTCAACCGTGGAAATTGAAATTTTTCGCTACTACATCCATGTTTTTTTTTTTTTTTTTTTTTTTTGCGTTTTTGTGGAGCCTGACCTCTATTTTTTGGAATAGAAGGAAGTCAGGTATTTTTAAATCTTTGAGATGAGTAACTTAGTTAGTGAAAATGCCTTATTTGTAGACTATAAAATGACGGTTGACATTTTGCAAGGGAGTGGATGTAGTGGGTTGGAATGTAATGATGGTGGTTAATCAATGTTAAGCGCAAATGATGATTTACTGGGGGAGATAAATAAATCCGACACACATAATCTGGGGAACTGCCATTTCCCAGACCCTTCCCCTTAATTCGTCATAGGAGGAATGCATATAATAATTAATGGTACATGTCTTAAGCAATAAGTGTACCACTAAAATACGTTTGTGCTTATTACAATCAAACTTTGTGTGATTTTATGTTTGTACTTGTAAGTGAATTATACGTTATACTGATTACAACTTTAGGCATGGGATAATAAAAATTGAAAGACGTTGGAATTTTACGCAGAAGAATAAAAACGGGAAAAATTATCTTTGTTGCACCACATAGCATTTGTCGTTACATGTTGTTACATTAGCACCACACTAGCATTTGTCATTACATGTTGTTACAATTTTATGAAGAAGAATAAAAACCGAAAAAATTTTGTAGCACCACATTAGCATTTGTCGTTACATGTTGGAATTTCCCGTGCCATGACAAAAATGATGTGGTGCGACAGAAAGGGTAGGATTTACAGAATATACGGAAACAAAAATACGCAAAAAAGAACAAAGCAATTGTCGCGACACCACGAGATTGTCACGCACGCTGGCAACTGTCATACGACGATGATTTTTTTGTGCAATTTAAAGTCAGTTTTATCATATGTGAAGGAAATTGATCTTTGATAGCTTCTTTTAGACGCGATTTTCCATTCTGAATTATTCCACAAAGCTCGAATTAGGGTTAAAGTTAGGTTTGTGTGGGTTGTAGCCATACGGCCTTCTGCTTATTATGTAAATATAATGTGAAATATTATATGGTTAAGTACTTGAAGTGTGTTATTTCTTTACTTATTAGAATCACTATAAAAAAGAGCAAATAAATAGTCTACCTTATCATTCTTTCAAAGTAGTGTAAAAAGAATAATTACTTTACAGAAGCATCAATTGTTATATCCATAAACCATCACAAAAGATTACAAATAAATGCTGAATTTCCATACATAAACAATAAAATATATCCATTAACCAAACCACCTCATATGTAACCCTCTAATTTCACATATGACCGCATCATCATTTAACCTATACCAAGCGTAAATATTAGCAAATATAAACAATAAAATGCAACACAAAAATAATGCCTTTAAAACAAGGTCAACGATTACTTACATATAAATCATAAACATAATCATTAGAAACTACGACATACTGTTCATACGTACCAATGACATAAACTACGGATTAAACTACATCTTCACAACTAGTTCATAAGTTTCTCTAATCAAATGTAAAAGACCAAAAAAAAATCTTTAAACAACTGTTGCTTCATGTCAGCACTTTTAAAGATCAGCAAAGGAAAGGAAATGACAAAAGACCCAAAATGCATCACATTAATCAAAATGACCTATTATAGCCTTCAGTCATGGACTTTTCCTTTTGTACATATCAGAGTTCTCGCTTGTTCCTTCATCTTCATAGTGGTTCCTAAAATCAGA